TTGTGTCCTATTCCAGTCCCCATCAGACATCTGCAGACCCAGCGAACAGTCGGTATTTTCAGCAAAAGTGGATTCAGATCCCTGAAGAGTATCCAAGGCAACTGTTATCTTAATAACCCACACATCAGAGGTGTTATAGCAAAGCTAGTGGGAGACTAATATATTGTCCAGCTGTGTAACTTCAAAAATTAATGTCTTCAAGTCAATTAAGAGCAAGTGAAGCTAAAAGGTTTATTTGGATTTTTTCTTGGTAATAGAAACCATTTTAATCAGGTTCCTATGACCCTGTGACATACTTTTATTTTGGGAACACTTCCTTGCTTTTTAGCATAAGAAGCTATTCCAGATTCATGTTATATCAATCCTGTCCCAGTGGAATTGTCACTGGAGGTTCAAGAAGTTTCCAGAGAGGTGACCTTGACTCAGGACAAGTGAGTTTCTTGGCTTATATTATGGAAAAGAATTTGAGCAGGTGCCAGTCAGAGACACAAAGGTTTATTTAGGAAAATAAGCACATTCAAGGGAGAATGTGGGCCATCTTAAGAGTGAGAGGCTTTTTCTTATATTTGTTGATTGATTGTATATCACCTCTGAGAATCTGTTCAATTCCTTGGCCCATTTATTGATTGGGTTATTTGTTTTTTTTATTTTTGGTGTTAGGTTTTTGAGTTCTTTATATATCCTAGAGATTAGCGCTCTATCTGATGTGCTTGTGGTAAAAATTTGCTCCCATTCTGTAGGCTCTCTATTCACTTCACTGATTGTTTCTTTTACTGAGAAGAAGCTTTTTAGTTTGAATCCATCCCATTTATTGATTCTTGATTTTAATTCTTGTGCTATAGGAGTTTTATTAAGAAAGTTGGGGCTTAATCTGACATAATGGAGATTTGGGCCTACTTTTTCTTCTACTAGGTGCAGGATGTCTGGTTTAATTCCTAGGTCCTTGATCCATGCAGAGAGAGCTTTCTATGCCCATCCAACCTAATACAAACTTCCTTTGAGATTCATTTATACAATTTCTGCCTAATGTGATTTTTTTGAAGTCTTTTTTGGAAACTCATCTGTTGCTTGGAGCAAGAGTCAACTCAGGTTTATAGGGATTTATTTACAGAGACTCACCAATACATCAGATGTCCCCCTTTAGCCAAGAAGAAGAAAAGAAAGTGTTTTGTGAGACAGGCAAAGAAAAAAAGACCAAGACAAGGACTCTTTTTTTTTTTTTTTAATGATTTGTATAGACCAGGTATTGGGTACACAGAGGTAGGGGATAAGAAAGCTAAAGCTGCTCAATAAAGAGTATGCACCAGATTTAGAATTCTAGAAACCAAAATACAGTCTGTTCCAGAAATCTCTTGTGTGACCCAGTGAGCAATAGGTTATAAAATTCGGGAGGCCAATACAGTTGGGGATGGCCTTGTCTATCAACCATGTTGGACACTGAAGCAATGATTCAGGTGGCCATTGTCCATCGATGAGATAGGTCCATGTCCAACATCACCACTATTTATTCCCCTCTTTAGGACCCTTTATTTTTTTTTACCCTTATTTTATTTATATACTTATTTTTATGTGGTGCTGAGGATCGAACCCAGGTGATTCGCACATGTTAGGTGAGCACTCTACCGCTGAGCCACAACTCCAGCCCCTCTTTAGGACCCTTTAAAAGGGAAGATTTAGGGCTGGGTTTGGCTCAGTGGTAGAGCACTTGCCTAGCATATGTGAGGTACTGGGTTCAAGTCTCAGCACTGCATAAAAATAGGTAAATAAAATAAAGGTCTATCAACAACTAATAAAAATATTTAAACAAAGGGGAAGATTTATTCTCCTGCCTTTAGTCCCAAGTGAGTTTGAAAGATGGACCTTGAAGAATTGGTCTTTAAAATAAACAGCAGTGGTGGAAACCCAGAGTCAGGTCTCTGTTCATTTCCTTTCCCATTTTCAGAACAAGCATTCATTCTCTGATTTATATTGGGGGCTACACCATGTTATAGGGAAAAAAAAATCAATTTCATTTTTCTTTAAGTACTCTGCTTTAAAATAATTCCAATTATTTATTGCACACACAAATGGTGAGTTCTTAGGAACAGACACTGAATTACCCATAATCTTTTTATTTGCCTGCTTTGATTTTTTTTTTTTTTTTTGTGTGTGTGGTTTTCTAAAAGAGTGAAAGAGAGGGAGAGAGGGAGAGAGAGAGAGAGAGAGAGAGAGAGAGAGAGAGAGAGAGAGAAACAACAACAGAAGCAGAAGCAGGCCTCTGGGTACTTTTGGAGTCCCCATCAGGAATGGATTTTTAAGTCTGTCCCATAAAGTAACATCTCTTCTAAGTCTGTCTATATTGTCTGTAAATTATTAGTGGATGATCATCCTCACCCCCATTAAGCAGTTTTCTGGGTGCTTCACAACGCCTGCTACGCCTCAGGAAAATTAGTCCTTTATGAAAAAAATCCGTAAGAGATTAGGTAACCCGGGTGTACCTGGAAACTTATTATTTTTTGTTGTTGTTTTGGTTTGGTTTAAATAAGTAAGGACACAAAAACCTTGTAGAGTTTTGAGGTACTTTAGGATAGGACAAAGTCAGGTAAGTTTTAATAGAGATTTGTTGATAGCTGACATTTTAGATCATGAGGAAGGACGAATGCCTCATGGAAATCACCTCTCTTCACAGTCAGGTCTGATGTCAAACAAAACACATTGCTGTCCCCTGAAGGTGGGGCTGTCATTCTTTCAGTTAGATAATACTAGTAGGGTGGGTATTTATCTTGACTAAAATAAGAGGTCAGAGAGAGAGGAGCATACTGCCCTTCAGGGCTCTTTTCTATTAAGGCAGTGGGTCAAGTTTGGAATCACTTAATTCCCCAAGGATCCAGTACAGAGAATGTGAAAATAAACATGATAATCAGCATGATTTTAGTTAAAGCAAAGAACTGAGAATAGTTCCTAGCCAACAGTGACTATATAGGGCATATTAGTCTATCTGGGACATGAAACATGAGATTACACAGAGTTAGTTTAAAGGGAGAAAGGGAACAGAGGACAAGAAGTCACCCTCAGATCTTGGATTTATAGCAAAAGTGTAAAGAGTTAAGAGATGGACTAATAAAATGTATTGGGTCTGAATGTGGTGATTATTGGGGTTCACTTCTCTTGAATATCACTCCTCTTGAGGGTCTCTCTACCTCTGAGCTACTTCCTCAGCCCTTTTTGGTTTTTATTTTGGGACAGGGTCTTGCTAAGTTGCCCTAGCTGGCCTGAACTTATGATCCTTGCTTCAGCCCTCTGAGTAGGATTACAGGTATGTGCTACCAAGCCCAGGTAAAAATGGAGTTTAAAATGGAAAAAAAAAAAGCATCTGATTTAAATGACTCTTGTGTGTGCCCTCCCCCTAAACCTGTTAGGGTAACAGTTCTGAGCAGCTTTCCCTACTGGCCCCTCCCTGGACCCATATCATACTTCTTCCTTCCTGCCCAGGGGGCTTCCCCCATGCCCCAGCAGGGACACCATGGCAACTGTCCGCATGGGCTACCCTTGACTGATGGAAGAGGATTGATGGTTAAATGTTTCACCAGACAGTTTGCAGATGCATCTCATAGGGCCCTGGAAAGGTGGTTGCCCTTGGCAATGGCTGCCTTAGTGATTCTTGCTTGTGTTGGCTTTGCCTCTGTTCCTGTTTGACTCCTCCTACCTGACACTCTTTCTCCCTAGAATCACTCTTAAATAGCCTGTGCACAGGGGTTTGGTCTCAGAGGATGCTTCCAGGCTAAGATGGCATCACTAGAAAAAACCTAAAACTCAAATGGAAGAGATGCTAATCGCTCATTTACCCAGATCCCACAGTCCAGCTGAACAGCAGGACAAAGGATAGAGCAAGATTAGTTTATCTGGGATGAATATCATTTTGAAACACACTGGCGTCTCTGCCTCTGGAACGTATCTCTCTCCTCCTCTACCTTTTTCTTCCTCTTTTGGTTCTCTCCATCTCTTCGTTCCCACATCTCTCTATCCTCCTGACCCTTCATCTCCCTTCCCTCTTTGCTGTGTCTCTTCTCTGGTCTTTCATCTCTTTCCATTTCATCTTATTTCTGTTCCCTCCATGCCTTTGCTCTTTATTTTTCTGAATCCTCTCATTTCCTTCCCTTTCCTACTGTCAGTAATCAAAATTGTAGCCTTGAGTCCCGAGTCCTGCTCTCTTTGCAATAGTTGTCAAGCGGGAGAGGAAAAAGGCAGAGTTCGATTGTGTGCTCCCCCAAACTGAAGATCCTCAAGGCTCTGATGAGTTTTGATGTCACTGACCCATCATAGGCATCTCATGAACGTAGAAGAATTGGTAAATGCAGGGTCCACAGTGGGGCTGATGGGATTTCAATTTTCTTAGTAGTAGTAAATACAGAGTTGACCCTCAGATCTGATCCTGGGGAGGCAAATCACTCCACCCAGTCTTCTCTCCCTAGTCTCTGGTTGCTCTTTGTTTGGTTCATGAAAATGTATTCCCAGGAGTGAACACCAGAATGTGGAGAGGGTCGAGGAGACTCAAAAGGAAATCTCTGTTGTTTCTTCTCAGGATAGTGCAAAGCCAAGCACTAACCTTCCAGCTGACCTTGAAGGTGACTTGTTTGCCTCTCTGTAAAACCACCGGAACATGTGCATTTGTTCATATTTCAAAACCACTTTATTACCAAAATGAACAAAAGGAAAATGACATTTAAATTAAATAAATTATACAAATATCTCAAGAGATAAGTTCCCAGTCCTCCTGGGAATCGTGTGTCACAGGTTAGTGTCAGCAAGAACAAGGACGGGGGATGTAGCTCAGTGGTAGAGCACTTGCCTAGAATGTATGAAACCATTACTGTTAAAACAAACAAACAAACAAACGACCCCAAACAAAACAAAACCATAAAATCTCAACTAAAGTATCAGAACATTCAAAGTTTTGAAATTCTGGATAATTCTGGATTATTTTGCTACATCACCCCCCGGCCCCCCCCCCCCCCGACCCTTTTGCGTCTAGGCGACATTTGTGTTCTTTCCAAAATATCTCAACACTGAGGTTTTCTTCAGTGTTTTTCCTGGTCCAGTGTGTTTCCAATCACATCTCCACCATGGGCTCCGGAGTACTTTTTGTCTTGGGCATGTCGCAGATCCCTCCTGGAGTCCCTACTGCAGGACGCTGTGAGTCAGCAATCCCCTTCAGCTCTGGGGCTGGCCTGGAGGGTTAATGGTCATTTCATCAAGTCCCCAGGGGATCTAGACAAAAGGGGACTCTGACTAGGTCTGTCCCGAGACTCTGTGACCTTCCCCCACCTCCTGGGCCCAAGCTGGACTTTGAAGGAGGTGGAGTAGGGGAGGGTGAGTTGTCATTGGCTAAGGTTCTTGTCCTCCTGGAATTTGGCACTTCAAGTGCTGGGCACGGTGAATCCCAGATAACATTGTCTTCCGCCTTCCAAGTTTTGAGTTCCATTGGCAGCCAGATGGCATAATGAATTCACAGAGAAGCAATGCCCATGGCCAAGAATGTGCTGGCTTTTCCCCAGCACCCTCTCCTTTAACTCTAAGAAGACTTGCTAGCTGACGAGCTCTCTCAACACAAAGACACACAGGTCAGGCTGAAGTTAGGCGTTGGGATGTTTTTCCCAGGCTGGGCCAGCCTGACCCGTTGGGGTGGGGATCATTAAACTGGAAAAAAACTTGAAAAAAAAACAAAAACAAAAAAACAAAACAGGAGAAGCCAGAAGATTTCTTTGTGCACTTTCATGGAATTTTTACAAAACACTTGCACATGAAACCTATTTGTTTTCAAGTCACTAGTGGGATCCTCTAGTTATCTCCATAAGCATAGAGATCTTGACCCTGATTTTCCTCTTTCCTAGAGGAAGATAGCCTCAGGTCCTGAGGGTGTTAGGACTCCCTGCAGTGGAAGACTCAATCTGGATCCGCCCTTCTCTGCACCTGCACCCAGCTAGGGGATGCACTTGATTCCTGGGGACTTCCTCCCTCTTGTCAGGTCTCCATTATGGCTCTGGGCTACAAGCTGATAAGGGAGAGTTAAAACATGGGCTCTCTGCCAAGTGAAGAAGGACAAGGCAGTTTTCCTGAGGGGAGGCACTTCCCTGATAGGCCCTGAGGTCCGGGGGGATTGTTAGGGCTCAGAATCTACCAGTTTGCTCTGGTTTAGCATTAGCACCCCCTCCTCTTCCAAGTCTCCAGTACCAAGAGGGATTCCCAAAAGCTTTTGTGCAGAATAATTGATATCTGTTGCTGAGTTATCAGAGGATTCTGCCTGCTACCTTCTCTTCTTTGGGGTTGTTACTCAGCCTCAAGTGGAAGGGAACAACCCCTGGGAGGTGGGTTGATGTTCCAGGAGATCAAAGCAGTCCTTTGGTGGAGTGCCCCTGAGGAGGTTGCGTTAGTGGTCTGAAGGCCCAGGCCAATGCATGGGTAGAATCTACAGTGCTGAACACAGTGGTCATCTGGGCAGCCTCGGGATGAAGAAGGGACAGAGTCACCAAAAGAGAGAGACTCCTAGGTTCTGAAAAGTGCATGGTCTCTGGGTGCAGAGCTGCCGGGCACAGAGTGGGGCAGCTGAAGGAGGTAAGGCTCAGCGTTCTAACCAGGTTCATCCCTGTGTCCTGGGACAGCCAGATCCCCTCTATACCCAGCCATGCAGTCATAGGGCCGTTCATGAAGCTTCCACACAGGTCTGCACAGTGGTACTTGTCCTCTTCTTGGCTCATTCTTGGAAGTCAAGGTGTCCATTGGCTGCCATGGGTGGGTGAGATGAGTGAGCTTGTGGCTTGCTCATTGCTGGACAGGGTCTGAGGGCCAGGGAGGGGGTGACAGGTGGATTCACCAGACTCTGTCTGTCCCTTGGAGGAACAGGGTTTGAGATGGTTTTTTTCTAGGGAGGCAGGCAGGGAGGGAGGGGAAGGAGAGAAATGGAGAGAGGAGGAGGAGGAGGGGAAAGCAGAACCAGAGTCCTGGAGGACACACTTCCTCTCCTGTCAATTCCTGTGGTCCTGGGCTTATCCTCTGCGGAGTTCCAGGTGCCAGGTGCTCTGGAGGTCGCATGGGAACCAGCGGGGCCCTCACAGGGCGGTCAGGGTCTCTGCATGAAACATGCTCCCAAACATCTCCTGGGGGGCCACAGGAAGGAATGGGGAAGAGCAAGGGAAAGTGTTAGACCTGTGGGGTCAGGGCGACTGGAACCAAGAGGTGACCGTGTGGACCTCTAGTTAAGTGAGTGAGCGAGTGTGTGTGTGTGTGTGTGTGTGTGAGAGAGAGAGAGAGAGAGAGAGAGAGAGAGAGAGAGAGAGAGAGAGAACAGGGCAGAGGCGGGGTTAGCCAGGAGGTGAACTGGGGTACAGCAGTGGCAGGAAGAAATGGCAGATCTGAGTTCTAAATGGCCTCTGGTGTGCTGGGTGACCTTCCACGGGTCCCTTCCTTGTATTTTTTGAATTTCATTTTCTCCGTTAGGGAGAACGAGGGTTGAAACCAGGGGACGCTATCTGTAGCGTTGTACAGATGGTAAAGCTGTGAAGCGCTGCCTCCTTTGATAAGCTATTTCCGTCTTATACAGGGTTTCTGGAATGTGCTGGAGATTCCAAGGGGGCATAGAAACCAGCCTGCCAAATCTCTGTGGCTCCAGCTCTGTTTTCCAGTGTCTCCCACCTGCCGTCAGCACTCTCAGAGATGTAGTCAGAGGACCATGGAACTCAAACCCCCAAAGAGTGGGAAGAGGCACAAAAAGATGTTATTCTTCATAGGTCTAAAGCCAGATTTCTCTAGACCTAGTCATCTGATTTCTTTTAGTTCAGGGTTTTGGAGTAGTACTAATTCTCATGGGCTCTGGGGTGAGGGGACAGTGCCTCTCATTTTTGCATAGCTTTCAGTTCTTAAGGCCTGTTCCCTTGCAATAATAATGCATTTGTATCCCCAGAATCCATTCAACTCCACCAGAATAGAATTTTCTAAAAGCAGTTTTTGGTTTTTTGGGGGGTACCAGGGATTGAACCCAGGGGTGCTTAACCGCTGAACCACATCCCCAGCCCTTTTTTATATTTTATCTAGAGACAGGGTCTTGCTGAGTTGCTTAGGGCCTCACTAAGTTGCTGAGGCTGGCTTTGAACTTGCGATCCTCCTGCCTCAGCCTCCCGAACTGTGCGGGAGTGTGCGGCAGACATGTGCGGCAGTGCCTGGCAAGAGCAGGGGTCTTTGTTTTGTTCACGGCTAGATGCCCACCCTGCAACTGCATAAGACAAATAGTATGCACTCCATAAATAAACCTTTGAATTAGTGAAAGAACAAATGACTCCCTCTTACTGCCCCCCTACTGCCAATCTTGTGGGGGACAAGTATTATTCATATTTCCCTTATTTTAGATGATGGCGGGACCTCGTGGTGTTACGAGACTTTCTCCAGATCACAGTGTGATGTGAGGCTTTCTCCAGAACACAGTAGAGGTAAGAATAGATATCAGTTCTCTAGGACTTGGCCTGGTAACTCTCCCTACCCCCAGGATGCCTTTCAGGGAGTGAGAAGAATTAAGATCTGCTATTAAAAGAAAGAGGAGGCTGAAACTTGGTTTCAAGGTGACTGCTCTGGCCAGACGTGAGAGTCCTGGGAACACCCTGTATTGGAGGAGACCCTCTCCCTCCCTCCCCTTCCCCTTCTTCCCTCTGCTCACCTGTTCTAAGTCCCAGTAGCTGGGGCCATCCTCCTCTGAATCATACAAGGAGAGCTCAGTGTCCCCTGGAGCCTAGAGGGAGGGAAGCCAGTGCAGAATGAGCTCAGTGACAGAAGGACAAAGGGGGCGCATGGTGGCAAGAAGGACGCATGGCAGACCCCAGTGGGCGCCATGTTTCCCACATAATTTGTCCTCCTGCTCCTCCTTTCACCTGCCTCATCTGCCTCACAAAATACAGCCCAGCTATGGTCTCTCTGACACCAGGCAGCTGTGCAAAGGGCCTATTCTCCTTTGAGGACCTTTAGAGGGAGGGAAGGTTTCCTTAGCTTACAAGGTGATGGGCCATCACCTGACCTTGGGGGATTCCTTTCCTGTCTCTGGGAATCTGTAAATGTAGGATAATCAGACTCACCTTGATGCTTTTTCCCTCACCACGCCATTGAAGAGGAGTGTGTGTGTGTGTGTGTGTGTGTGTGTGAGATTTATATATACAAATGTACTCCATAATAGGCAAATAAATATTATATATAAATTATTTATAAATATATAAATAATAAAGTATAAATGTGTATATATATATAAACCATAATAACGTCATTATTGGTACAATAACAAATGCTGAGGATTCATCCCTGTCTCCCAGTGGGCTCGGTGGACGGGGTTCAAGAAGCAGGGGGGCCTGCTGTTCCCCTAGAGCTTCCCTCTGAGCATGGAGGGCTGGAGCCAAGGCCCTGGGTTTCCCAGGACAGTCTTTCAGCACTTGGAACAGATGGCTTCACCTTCCCCATCTCTTAAGGCAAAGAGCAAATCGTTGCTCTAGAGCCAGGAAAGTCCACAGAGGGCAGAGGAGGTTTAAGCAGAGGCCAGGGGAACAAACAATCTGGGAAGGCCAAGGGCAGGGCCTGAGCTGGGAAGGGACTGGTGGTGAGGGAGGGGTGGCTGGGGAGACAGGGGCAAGGGCCCCAATGAAGCGGACTTTTCCTGACTCCTCAACTTCCTAGAGTCCCAGACAGTGTTATTTGTATCTCATTTGCATATTACTTATGGAACTAGTAAATTAAACCAGAGGCTTGGTCCCAGCCTCCTCATCCATCAGCAGCCTGAAATCTCCAAGTGCTGCAAAATCAAACCAGGCAGACTCCCCGCCTCCCCTCCCCTCCCCAAAGGCCCTTTTAGAAAGGGTGAAGGAGGAGGCAGTGAGCAATGCCAGATGATAGGGCAGCGTGTACTATGTGTGCTGTAGGGAAATTAATATTAAAAAAGGGCCTTTTTTTTAAACAAGGTACAAATAGTTTTTGAGTGATAGAAAAGTGATAATTATCATCTAATCCTAAATCAAAACCAAAAGAAAAATGCTGTGAAGTAGGTAATAGTAGTTGATGGTGCCTATTCTACAGATAAGGAAATTGAGATTCAGAAATTGGTGTTGGAACTCAAACCTTCTCCTGCATTCTTTCTAATGCCTGTTATGTTTTTTTGATCTATATCTGTATCTATATCTATATCTATATCTATATATATTTTGTACTGGTGGTTGAACCCAGAATTGTTTAACCCTTGAGCCATGTCACATCCCCAGCCCTTTTTATTTTGAAACAAGGTCAAGGCTGGCCTTGAAACTTGTGATCCTCCTGCCTCAGCCTCCTATACATGTTATCCAGCTAGCAGGCTAGGCTTTTCTAATGCCCTTTAGTTCTGCTATTTTAGTGCCCTAGGATTTCCCAGGGGCAGGGACCTTACCCCTTGGAAGCTGTGACCTGGAGCTACTTCTCTGGCATTTGCTTGGGCAAAGAGGACTGCATCATGTATGCTGGGGAAGATGTGGTTGCGTTCTAGACACCCATCTTCAAAGACACCTCCGTGGCTGATGTCATTGTACACCTGGGCTGGAAGGAAGCAAGATCACCTTCAGAGAGATAACAGTCTTTGGGGAAGAGGAAGGATGGTGAGCCCAGAGCAGAGAGAGAGGAACAGAGACGCCCAAGGTTCATGTTCTTAGCACATGTGGGCGGAGGTGCGGACAGCATGACATTGGCACTGCCATATCAGTTCTGGACAGCAGAGGGCAACATGGGCTTGAGGATGCTGAACCTTCAACTCAGGGCATAAGGAAGCAGTTTGATTGAGGGAGTCGGTACTTTGTGGTAATTTGAGAGGAAAGACTAGCATGTCCATGGGGAAGTTGCTGCCAATTCTCTCCTGTAAGGCTCATCTTCCTCCTGTTCACCTAGGCCTTTCCCATGTGTGGTACAGCCCTTACTCTTACCAAATTCTAGGATGGAGTGTCCAGTAAGGGTGGGAAGAATCCACTGATTCTAACTCCAGACCCCATCCAAGCTGCTCATTACCATTGTAGATTCTCTCCATAAGTCGAGTCTCTGCAGAGCCTAGGACATGCAGCTCTGCTGGCTGGGATCTGACCATCTGCAGGAAGCTGTGTGTGTGTGTGTGTGTGTGTGTGTGTGTGTGGTGTGCATGCACGCCCCCTTCACATCTTCCTGTGTGTATGCACTGGCTGCATTTCCACATCCCTTTGTTGGGCATATGTGCTTACGCCGTGAGCGTCTCTTGCTCCGTGGCCCCGTCCTTGGGGGCTGCATGCATATAAGATTTTGTGTGTGCATCTGTCTGTTCCCTAGGTAGTTAGGGCATGTGTGTGCTTTATGCTTCTTTAGATTCATGGACTTTCTGCTTGGGATAGGATCCTCAAGTTCATTAATCAGCCCTCTAATTTACATGGGTGAAAATAGATACCTAGACAGAGAAAGCAACTTGGTTCAGGATACATTGCAAATTAGTGACAGGGCAGATGAGAGTCCTGGTTGTCCTTTCTCAACTCTCCCAGTTGGCCATGGAGACTCCTCTGATACTCTCATAATCTGACCCATCTCTTATGACTTGTGACTGGATCTCTTATGAGCAGTCAGCAGTTCAGGGGAATGTTGGGGTGCTCTTATTCAGTGCCCCACCAATCTGTCCCCCCCAAACATACCAGGGTGCCCTACACGTCCCCATGGATTTCTTACCATGGATGTTCACCAAGAAGACCTTGACTCCAATCTTCCCATAGGTGGAGCTCAGCTAGACGTGTGGGGAAGGCGTTGGGAACAGAGAGTGGGGGCAGAAGGAAAGGAATGTTCTGAGTGGGTCTCCAAAGTGACTCACAAAACCTACTTCAGAGGGAAGGCCAAACAAATAAGCAACCCAGGGAGCCCTGGCAGCCAAAGACAAAAATAGCAGCCGAGCACACCACTTCTCTCTGGAGTGTTGGCTGAAGCCTCCTCTAGAAAGCCCGGCGGAAATGGGGCTTTGCCAATGTGCCGGGCACTTAAAGTCTCGGTGGCCCTTCTTATGGGGCCAGATCTTTTCTTTTCATAACTTGGATTCCCGGCTCCACCTCTTTCCCCGACTTTGTGGCTTCAGGCAGAAGCCGCAGGGGAGGACTGAAGAGAGAGACTAAGGCTGTAGCCAGGCCTGGGAAGCAGGTTCAGGCTCAGGAGGCAGGCTGAGGCCTGAGGAAGGCAGGGGCCTTCACATCTCCTGGCTGCTGGTGACATTGGCCCACACGATCTCTGTGCCCCTCTGTACCCCTGTGCTGTCTCCATCTGAGGTTTGCTGACTCCCTGACATCAGGGGTGGCCACTGAGAAGTCATCAGATGGGTACATTCACTCAGGGTCCCTTGGTCGCCTGTGTGACCCAAGGGTTGGGGACAAGGTGTTACTTTTCTTCTCTCCTAGGTTGGCCAGTGAGGGTAGGAAGGGCCAGCAGATTGTGATCTCGAGCCAAGCTACACTCTACTCAGAGAACCCTGGGGTGGGATCCCAGAGGCCTCAGAGGCCTGGTGCCTGTTGGTGTGGGGTGGCACAGGGGGACCGGAAACTCAAGAGATTTACTATCGTGTGCCGGCTCAGCAGAGAGTATCCTGTCCTGGTCATGTCTGGGGAAAGGAGGGATCCCTAGGGGCCTTGAGTGTCCTTCAGCTGGTTGAAATGAGGGCTCCAAGTTAAGGGGGTGCGGGGAGCAGGAGCGGGGGCCATGCACCCTCTCCCTGGGGGCCTCACCTTGCCCAGGGCTTTGATGCCCATCAAGTCCACAAAGCTGACTCCACTCATGTCTAGGATGAGGGTGTGGAAGGTGACAAAGGGTGGGACACTGGCCAGGGTGTCACTGGGCTCACTGGGGGACCCAGCAGAGGCTGATGGCTCACATGGGGTGGCTGAGGAGGTGTCAGGGCTGAAGGTGATGTAGGATATGCTGGCGCCGTTGGCTGGGGTCTGGTTGTTGTTGGGGTCTGTGGGGGAGGCGTTTTCAAAGTCCTGCTGAAGCTCCTGCAGGGAGACAGTCTGGGGGGTGGGGCGGGGGTCAGAGGCAGGGACCATGGAACCAAGTCAGACGTGGCTATGGCCGCAGCAGGGTGAGGAGCAGGTGGAGGTGAATAGCTCAGTTTGGTGCTGTGAATAAGGCCCAGGGAACCCCACTGGAGAGGCCGCTCCCAGAGCCCCTTCCTGAGGCAGGGCCTGCAAGCCTGGTCTCCCCCAGTCCAGGGAGAGAGTCCAGGACCCCTCCAGAGAGGCCCTGAAACCTCGGTTCACTCTGCTCAGGAGGAAGGCCCTGTGGGGACAGCAGAGCTCTTAGGCATTTGCCCACGTCTGCCTGCTCCTCCATGCCTCCCACCCTGGCCGTGGTACTCTGGGTTTTCTGGGCACCCTAGGAAATCCATGGAAGCTCTCCATCATCTGGGGTTGCTCATGGGTCCACAGACAGTGTCCTATCTTGGCCAGAACATGGGAGTTCAGTGTCTTCCCTGGGAGCTGGCAGCCCATCACCAAAGAAGATTGCCTGGCAGCCAGCAGGCAGTGCTCATAGACTTCCTGTCTTTGCCTCTCGGTGGGTACCAGGGCCAAGGTCGGCATGGTGGCCGGGCTGCTCCTGGCCTCTGCTCACCTTGGTTTTCATGAAGAGGGACTTCCTCTGTTGTGTGGGCATCATTCTTTTCTCCTGCTTCCTGAGGTATTTTTGCTTGGCTAGCAATACTTTCTGGGGATCCATACCTGTCTGTAGGGAGAGGTTCAACAAGAATCTTTCTTTCTTTCTTTTTTTAAATTATTTTTTTATGTAGCATTAAGGATGGAACCCAGGGCATGCACAGGCTAGGCAAGTGCTCTCCCAGTGAGCTCTATCCCTGGCCCTTTTTATTTCATTTTAAGACAAGGACTCACTAAATTGATGGTGGTTGGCCTTGAACTTGTGATCCTCCAGCCTCAGCCTCCCAGGTAGCTATGATTATAGGTGTGCACCACCACATCTGGTTCCAACAACAATCTTGACCTCCACCTTTGCTGGGGTGGTCTGCCCTTTGCTCCCAGCCCTTCTCTACTTTCATTTTCTGGTCACTCTTTCTTCAGCCCTCCTGGTCACCAAGGACTGAGGCTTACCTTGGCAACAACCTTTTGCCTGAAGATCTCTGAGTTGGCAAAGTAGAGGGGGGAGCAGTAAGTGACGATCTTAATCCCCTCAATTTCCTGGACCTGTGAGAAGGAGACTGAGCTCAGGTTGCAGAAATGTCTTGACTGTTGTTTTTTTCTTTCTATTTTTAAACACCTCTGCTCGGGGTGGGGGCAAGGCCAAAGAGTGAGGTCATCAGCTTGGATTACCTACCCGATTGTAGGTCTTGGGATTCACATAAATGTCAGTGTCCATGACCTGGGCCAGCGCGTAGCCATTTCGACTAGAAAAAAGAAAGATGGCAGACAATGCTATGGTGGGCCTGGAAGGATGCTGGGGTGGAGCCCAGGTGGGGCAATGTTGGAACAGGGTCCTGTCCTCATCCCTGGGCTTGTCTCTGCCAGTCGTTCTGCACTGGAGACACATGCCTAGTGGGGATGTCAGGCAGGCCCTTGAGGCAGCTCAGGGGAGAGAAAGGGTGAGATTTCACAAAATGACCAGGTTAGGTGGCCCTGAAGTCATCACTTCCTGGTTCTGAGTTCTTAAGAAGAGAAGGCAGGGTTTCTCCAACATTCAGCACCCTCGCTGCCCTGGCCAGATCCTCTCCCTGTACCCAGGGCCTGTCCTACTCAATCCCTTTATAGGAAGAGCATGGCCCTGTGCTCTGCCCTGGTGCTCTCCTGGATGGGGTCCCCTTAGGTCTTAGGGACTGGCTGTGCTTCTGGAAGGGTGTTGGGTCTCACCCACCAGCTCTTTCTCTACATTGTACCCCCAGCCCGCTAAGACCAGGCTGGCTTCTTCTGGGGGTTTTAAGGTATGAGAAGTCAGACAGCCCATCCTGTGCCTGCAGTCTTGGTTGGGCCACACATCCTCTGGCCCTGGCAAGCATCTCCAGTGCCTGGGCCAAAAGGTGTCAGGTGCAGCGGGCTGAGCTAGGCCTTGGTGTGGGAGCCCCTAGCAGGCCGGCTCAGCAACCCGCTGCTGTGCCTGGGAGTCAGGAGGCTGTTACTTACAACTGAGTCTGGAAGACGACAACCAGGACGGAGAAGGCGACACCCACTGCCACACCATAGGGCAGGCTCAGGAAGAAGGAGGAGAGGAAGCTCACCACCCAGACACACTGTGAGGAGAGAGATGTCAAAAGCAGGCCTGGGGAGAAAAACTGCCTCTTTCAGGAAGTCTTCCTGGATTAGCCAATTTTGTTCACTGTCAGCACAACCTCAGACCCATCCTTCCCTTTTGATTGCAGGTTTGCAGTGATTTATGTGTTTGTACTTTGGTCAGACTTACCTGCTTCCCTTATGTTGAGTGTGGCTGCCTGATCATTTTCTCTTTTTTGGTAGTGCTGGGGATTGAACCCAGAGACTCGTGCCGACAAGGCAAAGGCTTTATCACTGAGCTACATCCTCAATCTCTTGCCTGTTTTAAAAATAGAAGCCCCAGCGTCCAGAGGGAGAGCATGTATATAATAAGATTGTGCATCTTGGGTTCAGCGTTTGGTTCTCTTCTTAGCTGTGTGAGCTGTGGTTTCCTAACCCACAAAGGGATTCGAGTTAAGGAACGCAAAGGTCCCAGTCTTGGGATCAATGAGTGATCAATATATCAGGTGCTTGGACCTGCACGGATAGGCTGGGGCCAGGGGCCTTTAGGGATCCCCAAATTCCTCTAAAAGGAATCGGTCTTCCCGGATTCCCATAGAGAATTGTGGTGAAGGTCAAGTGGAACCACAGCACTATGTGTATATAAGAAGCGATTGCATGTTGGGATGAGGAAAAGTAGATCCTTGGGCTGGGAAATGGGTCATAATTTTTCTTCCCAGCCCCATCACTCCCCATCAGATAGCCCACTCTGTGCTCTGACTTTGAGGGTTTCCTTCCCTGCACTGAGTAGATGAGCTTCTCTCTCACCGGAGACAACACAGCCCAGGGGGCTGGAATTCAAGACCTGGGGTTCCCATCCACTCAGCCCCTTGCCTCCTCTGGAGCCTTTGATGATTTACTTAGCCACTTTGAGCCTTGATTTTGTCATCTTTGAAGGAGATTAGCAAATCCTCTCCCTGGCTCAAATGCAGCTAATGCAATGTCATCGGTACCTGGGAGCCTGCATTACTATTGCCCAGTGGGAGACGCACTTGGCGTGCGTGACTAATCAAGATAATAAGTCATGCCGCAGATTGTTTGTGGTTACTTGGTGCTTTCCCACTGTGATCTCACCTAATCCACAGAACCAGTGTCTGACGCAGACATAACTATCATCCTCATTTACAGATGAGGAAACAGAAGCCCAAAGAAATCTAGTAACTTGCTCAAGACCCTGATCCTCTGGCTTTATGTTCCAAACTTTCTTACAAAGTGATTTTCTTGTGCTGTTTTGAACTGTGAATTATAAAAATAAGAGTAACTAAGTTTGATTGAGCACAAATACAACTTGGGCAGCGTGCAGTTTACTCATACGACCTCGTTTCTTCCTCATAAGCAATCAAAGGGTTGGAGAGTAGAAAACACCCATTTCACAGATGAAGAAGATGAGAGTCAGAGAGGTTAAGGAACTTGCTATTGACCAGAGAGCTAGGGAATGACTGAGGTAGGGTTTAAACATAGGATGCCTTGCTCCAAAGCCTGGATATTTAACCACTCAGGGAACAGCAGACCGGAGGGCTCAAAGATAAGCTGGGGCTGTGGGTTGGAGGAGGGAAAGGTCCTGGACAGGTGCCCCGAGCTGCCCACTACTTACGCAATCCAGCTTGCTCTTCCTCCACAGGTAGTAGGGGTCGGTGAGTTGCTTGAGGGAGGTCTTGAGGTTGACAGCTATCAGGGCTCCCAGCACGGCCTGGAGAGGCAGAATGTGGCTCCATGTCACCTGGGGTACTCCCTTCTTCCTGCACACCTGACCCTGAGACTGGCAGCTTAGAGTTGGAGTTCTAGAGCACTTCCTCTGGCAGAACCCCCAAACCTCTCCGCTCAATCTTAGGCTTGGAAAGTGCCGTTGCTAGAGCCATGGAATTCACCTGGCCCCATCTCTGTCCTTGTCTCTCCACTTATTCTCAAATGGCTCTTGTAAGCCCTGCTAGCCGGGCAGTACCAGGGCCTGGCACCCTAGGAAGTGCACAAAGTGCCTGGGGCTATACCCTAAGACCAGAAGGCTGGGGTTGGGAACAGTCCTGCACCACGAGCTGTCTCTCCAGGTAGACTCTCTCAGGCTCAGTCTCCCTCCTCTGTAAAATGGAGAGAATAAAACCTGCGTGTCTACCTTACAGGTTGTGATTGAGACTAAGTGTGACAATGACAGTGCTTCATAATCTAAGATCTACCCAACTCCTAGGGATCATTGGTGCTTGGAGTCTCTTGCTGTCTTCTGCTCCCCAGCTGGGCTCTTACCTTGGGGAGAGGATACAGGTAGGACCCCAGGACCAGCATGGTGATCATCACCACCAGAGACACGCACAGGCTTGCCACCTATTCAGAGAAAGAGTTGGGAACAGGGGGATGCTGTGGAAGTCTTGCCCTTGGTTGTTCCCATAGATGCCTTTGGTGGAGTGGAGACTGAGTAGGGAGAGGATGGGGCTGGGAAGGTGGGGCTGGGTTCTGTTTCACACCCCCCCACCCCACCCCCAGTACAGGGCTCACCTGGGATTTTCCACCAGCTCCATCCACAGCCAGAGTGACAGAGAGCGCGCAGCAAATGACATGGATTTTAAAGAAGGAACCAAAGAAATTGCTGCAGCCCAGGGCGATCATCTCCTATAGGAAGGGGGCAGAGTTGGTGGGAGGGGCAGCGACGCAAAAATAGTCAGTGTGCACTCTGGATCTTGGGCCTATGACTTGAGAGTGACCCTGGTGCCATGAAGTCACACACTACCAGTCAAGAGGAGGTCAGCCTCTTGGGATCAGAGTCTCCCCAAGCCCTCAGCTCAAAGGGCCCCCAAATCTCTTGCAGGTCTCTGTTGGCCCATCCCACCCAGCCCTGCTGAGGGCAGCCAAAGCTACCTGGTTGGAATCCACGTCATAGCCATGCTTGCTGGCCAGGGTCCGGCCCATAGCCAGGTTGATGACGTAGCCCACGATGGCCAAGGAGAAGGCTGTGCCTATCATGTCCTTCCACTGCGAAACCACGGGTGACACTGGAGCAGGGAACCTGTGGAGGAGCCGGAAAGAAGGCAAGGCCCAGGGGTGTGAGGAGAGGGAAGGGAGTCCTTCCTCAGCCCTCAGGGGCCAGCCAGAGCCCCCTGCTGTGCACCAGGGGCATCTCTTCCTAACTCATCCCTGCCAGTCTCTCTCACTGCAGCCCGGGGGTGCCGCACCATCACTTCTGTTTCACAAAGGAGGAAGCCAGGCTTCGAGAACCTCCTCATCACAGAGCTGGCCAGTGGTAGGGCCTTGTCTGTTTGTGTCCAGATTCTGAACTCTTGCACTCCCCTAGTTTATGGACTCACGGGCCCCCAGTGCTTGAGGATGTCCTTCGCATGCCTTCTTCTGCTCAGTAGGACAGGTTCTGCCCCTGGCCTCCTGGGGCCCAGCATGGTGCTTGGCACAACATGGATGCCTAACAAATCTGGTTGATCCTAATGGTCACCATTGTGCATGGATAAACAGGGCCAAGAGCAAGGCAGAGGGCCAGCAGGAGAGGTTCTGCTGAACAGCACTTATAGCGTGAGACTTGCAGGGGAGGGTCGCTGTGAAGACCCATGTTCCATAAAGAGGTCAGCCTTGGCTGGTTGTGCGGCTCTTCTTGGTAATAAGTAATAGTAGACGTTCTCCTGTGACCAGTGTCATACTGTTTCTAATGGACTGTCACAGAGATCATGTCATCCCCATCGGAGCCCAGGGGGTCGGGGGTGGGGCCAGGCCTCTGGATCACCTGGACTCACCCACTTTGGATCTCTCCCACGATCTGCATGTGATACTTTCTGGGCATCTTATAGCTCCCGGAAATAGCTGTTGCCACCACCACCTGCAAATCCCAAGGTGGAGAATGTGGATTGGCTCTCTGTTGGGGCCAGGGCAGGGGTCTCTCCCTAGTCTCTCTTTTCTTTGGAGGCACCAAATCACACTATCTTGCCTCCTTTGGATGGGGGTAGGTGGAGGGGGCAGACACACCTACTGAAGGAGTAGGAAGTAGGAGTAGGAAGGGGAAGTGGGAATAGGAAGTCCCACACCCGGGGCATGGAATGGGTTCCATGTAACTTTCTGTCCCCTGGCTGTCAGTGGAGGGATGGGGTGAGGGACAGGTAGGGGTTCCCTTGGGCCTATCTCTTCTCACAGCCCCTAAATCCCAGTCCCCCCAACATCCCAGCCCTGGGCAAGATCTTACCACAATCATCTCCGAAGGAATGGGGAAGCGGATCTTGTGCATGTAGCGAGCATTGAGCTCCTTCACCAGCACCAGGAAGGCTCCGCTGATGAGGGCGAAGATGAGCGAGGCGATGTTGGTGTGGGGGAGGTTTTTGCAAATGTCAATGAAGGTCTGGGGGAGAGAGCATGAGGCTCACAGGCTCCCACCCCTTGACCCCATACTATCCCGCTCCTGGGTGCCTGTCTCAAGGGAGAGATGCCCTGAGTGCTTATGGAGGTGAACAAAGGCTGAACACAGACCCTAGTCATGAACATTGCCATCTCCCACTATCCTCTCCCAAAGGACATGTGGGGAACTCATGCTAGGATGGAAATACTTTCTTTTCCTCTAGAAGAGTTCAAACTTAAGGAGGGATGAAGATTACACTTAAGGAAGGTCTTCCCAAGCAGGGACAGGTTGGGGCACTGCAATGGGGGGTGGGGAACCAATGGAAAGTACATTTCTTTTTCTGCAGGAATAAACCACAGAGAATCTCAGGAAGCTCTCGAGGGCATGGGTTCAACTCCCTCCTTCCATGGTGGGAATTCCCGCAGAATCCTCTGAACAATGGCTCAGCCAGCCTTTGCTTGAGAACATCTCAGAATGAGCAGCTCACAACTTCCTTCAACAGTATCCTCTGCTCATGCATCTGCTTGAGGTCTGCCCCATTGGCAGGGTGCCTCCCCAGACTCACAAAGACGATGGACCCCGGGCCTGCGTAGGAAGGAATGGTCAATCCAAAAATGTACTTGAGCACGGAGATCAGAATCTGTAGGCCAGCAGCCGTCATGAAGCCCCGGATGAAGGACTCGGAGAGGTAGATGGCTACAAAGCCGAACTGCATGAAGCCCAGGCCCATCTGAGGGGAAGAAAGGAGGTGGCAGGAGAGACCACGATGGGTCAACCACCCCTGCAACCTGACCAGCACAAACCCAGGCCTGGAGCTCCCACCGTGCTGGGACACAGTGGCTCTAGGGAAAAGGGTCCTCTGTGGCTTCCTCCTGCCCTTCACTGTGCCCTATGTGGCCGCCACCAGGCCTTTGGTTCTTTATCGGGCCTTTGTCACGTCACCCCTCTGGCTTTGACTTCCTTATCTGCAAAATAAACTTGGTCCTTCTGAGTGCTTCCTCTCTCCGTATGACACCGTCACACACCTGATTGCCCAAGCCAGAAAGTGGAGTCACCCTCCCTCACCTCCCACATCCCATCTATCACCAAGCTCCGCTGATGCTCCTGGAACAACGTCCACCCCCATCTCCCTCTCCATGGCCACCACCTTGGTCTAGGCCCCTGTGACTCCTGCCTGGGCCTCTGCAGAGACTTCCAACAGGTCCCTCCCTTGGTTCTAATTCACCTTCCAGCCAGAAGCCCCAGTAAGTCTTATAGACTGCCCATTGGATCCAAAGCCACTTCTTAGGGGACAGACTGACTTCACTGTCTGGCCCCTGATACCTTTCTGGCCTATTCTCTGGCCTTCTACCCTCTGGTCACATTACACTTTTTGCTGATTTCTGGTCAAACTCCCTTTCTGAGGCCTCTGTGCTTTGGGGTGCTGTCTCCCTCGGCCCCCCCCCCCCCCCCGCATCTTTCTATACTTGATCCTTCATTCATGGGTTAGCTTCTAGTCATCCTTCAGGCTGAGGTCAAATGTCACCTCCCTTTTGAGGTTTTCCTTGACTCTCTCTTCTGTGTCCCTGCAGCCATTTGTAAGGAGCTCTAGGGGGTTGCTTATCTCACATTCATTTATTGGTCAACATGGCTACTTCCTCGGCTGGGCTGAGAGCACCTGAGAACTGAGCCTCTTTTTTATTTATCTTTGTATCCTCAGGGCTCAGTTCTTGGCACATGAAACGTAAAGTGAATGAATAAATGAATGGACTCGGGGCTGCTTCTTGCTCTTGCATTTTGTCAGACTGAGCTTCCCTCCCCAAGCCCCAGGGAATCCTTTGCACTTCTTGGGAGAAGCTCGGTTTACATTGTGCACCTGCTGCCTTGGTGTGGGGCAAAGGGGCGTGGGGAATGCTGGCAGGGAGCTGGGTTTCTCCAAGGGGCAGTGGAGAAAGGCTGTGAGTCTTTTTTTTTTTTTTTTTTTTTGGCAGTTTTAAAGCTCAGGGCGGATTCATCAGGCGCCATTGCTGGTTGTAGGAATGGTCCTGACATGGGCACAGGTGAAAAGATACTCTGAATTTTTAAGGTATTTTTTGCTCTGGGATGAAGAAGATGGAGAAGACAGAGCCCTAAATCAGACCTATCATCATATCAAGGGCTCTGGGGCAGGGGCGGAGCAGCCTGGTTTCTTCCCAAGGTGGAACCCTAGCAGGGCTGGGGACTTGTCCACCTTACCTGGATGATGGCGGTCAGGCAGGCGAGTGTGGCCGACACATGCAGCCTCTCTGTCTCCATGGCTGCCGTGTCCACGTAGCTCTCATTGGTGGCATTGTTGAAGACTTGGAATTTCGACTCTGGGGCCAGCTGCAGACAGATGTTACCCACCAGGATGCTGATAACGGCAAAGGTACCTGTGGTGCCCCACCCAGCCAGCAAAAATGAGAGGTTTGGAGCACACCCATGGAAAGCATCCTGTTCCCCGGGGCGATGGATCCCTGCACCTCCACCCTCCTCTCCAGTGTGACAATGCCACTAACGTCCAGTCACCCTCTGCACTCTCCAACCACCTATGCTTTTACCTGTCAACAGCATCTCATTGACATGTGAGGCCACCACTCAACCAGAACCAGAATCAGAGACCAGCCCTGGTGGACAGGCCCCTTTTCTCTAGCTCACCTAGCATCAGAGAACTCCAAATGTCCCTTTAGTGGCCTGCTGAGACCACTCTGGCCCCTGGACAGTGATTTCTCACACCTGTGTAGTGTAGGCCTTATCTTATTTTGTCAAGTTATCCACTCCTTCCAGGGAGGGGGATAGAACAGGTCATACTGACTGAGCTCAGTGGTTTCTCCAAGGTCACTGAGAACCTGGGACTGATACAGTGACCGTCCCTCCAGGATCAATCAGTACCGACACCAGGAAAATGCAATGGAACCCATCCCCCTGGGCCATGCCACCCATCCTTGAGGTCCAGGTCATCTTGCCTGTCGAAAGAAGAGAGACCTTACCTGGCACCATCTGGTGCACACCCCCCAGGAAGAAGTAGGTCAGGAGAGGGAAGAAGGAGGAGTAGAGGCCGTTGACTGCAGGAAGGTTGGCCAGCAGAGCAAATGCCATGCCTGCAGGGGACAAGGAGATCCAAAGCTCAGGAGCGCTAGAGAGAAGAAGAGGTGGGAGCAGCAGGCCAGGACTGGCTGAGGGGACCCCTCACCTTGTGGCACCTGGATGCATCCCCCACTGAGTCCGCCCAGCAGGTCGGGGATGATATAGTCCTTGATCTTGTACTTGGGGATCCAGGAGAGCACTGGCAGCAACCCGAACACCACGGCTTTAATCTTGGCTGAGGAACAGCTACAGGGAAGGAGGCAGGTTGGAGAGGGATGATAATTAATCTCATTTATTAATTCACAGTTCACTTGGATCTCAGGAAACTGAGCACCCACAGACCATGCGGAGGATTCTGAGCAGGCAGAAACTTTCTCTGGAGAGCTTGTCAATGCACCCTGGGCTGGAGGTCTTCTCACTGCTGACTGCTCACCTGGGACGTCTACAAGGCTTGGCTTCAAGGTGTGAATTTTATGGTGGCTCAGGCTTCTGAGATGTCAGGTCCAACCCTGGCTCAGATGGCCTTTCTCTAGGCCTGAGTGACTGAGCCTAGGCCCTCGTCTGGGCTCCTGCAGCTCTGGGTGCACCCTGTGACTTAATTCTTGCCTTTCCTCTGTCTCAACTCAGCAGACCCCGTGATGGCGAGGTCTGTCTCTCTTGTTCCCCCTCATACACTTTGAATGTTACAGAGGTGTGCTTGTGAACTATTTGTTGGATAGAAGAATAAGTAAATAGTTAAATGGATGAGCCAGTTTTGACACGGGGTCTGAGCGGGGGCTATCTGTTGCTCTTTTTTCTTAAACTTCCTTCCAAAAGGAAGGCTCTGTTGTCCCTATGGGGTGCACTGCAGCTGAGTCGCTGACCTTTCTGTGCCATGCTCGAGAGCTGGAGTTCCCCCTGGTTAATGGATGGGTGGAGGGGGAAGAATGGGAGAGCTGTTCCTTGGCCAACACAGGCTAGGGAGAGTTGATCCCTTCCCTGTTTGTTGAGCACCTTGAGGTCCTTTCATGGTGACTCCGGAGCGGCAGGAACAAGGGCTTACAAATTCAAGGGCGACAGCCGGTGGATTGATGACTGGAAGGGGGTGGGGGGCATTTTCTTTTCTTCTCCCAGTTAAGGGAACTCAAATACTCAGGGCCCATCTGGTGACTCACTGGCCTGCTCTGATTAGGCTTCTTTTCCTGCCCGCCACCAATTCCTGCTCTTTACTCTTGCTCAATAATAGTTTCCCTGACACTGGGTCCCCTGGATGTCACCCAAGACTGAAACCAACACAGACAATGCTTTGTGTCCAGAAAAGTCTAGGCAGATTTTCTGACCCAACTGACACTGTGGAATGGCATTGCCGTCCGCCTCTGACTGTCCAGTCTTCTCTGGGGCTTACAGGTGCCTCCCTCCTCCCTGGTATGGTGGAAAGGGAGTTGAAAGTGGTAAATAACTTCATGCATCTCTAAAGTCTGATCCTAGGAGAGGATCAGGGGGTCCTTCTGTAGGGGCTCTGCAGGGTGTTGGCTTGTGGTAGAGGAAACTGGACTCCCAAGCAGACAGCTGGCTGGGTAAAGAATAACAGGGCATTCGAGGTCTAGTGCCTGCCCGATCTTCTTGCAACCCTGCCCTATGTGGGTAAATCTGAGGTCTGAAAAGAGCTGGAAGCAAGATCAAAAATATCTGTAGATGCCTCATTAGTGGAGAGACTGATTAGTGTTCTAGACATTCATTCATTCATTCATTCATTCACTCATTATCAATCACATATTTATGGAGCATCTTCTCTGTGCCAGGAACTGTCCAAGGCTCCCAGGCCAGCCCCATGGGAATGGAGAGTTCCCTGGCTCCTTTTAGAATTTTCACCATCCTATCTTTTAGGAAAAAAGCAGACCCTCCTTATTCCCTCAGCATCAGAGCAACCCAAATTTGGGGTTCCTTTGGGCTCAAAGACTGGCCGAGCTCTTAAGTCTGAGGAACATAGCTGTGGGTATGGTGCCCAAACCCTGGGCACCCATGGCTTTGACTATAACTAGGCAGAGATGGAGCCTCCCAAGGGAAGCAGGGTTGGGCTGGGGCTTTTAGTAAAAACTCAAGTGGGTGATTCCCTCAGCCTGAACCAGTTCCACCTGCATCTCCACTTTAGCCGCCGCCAGTGACCTCAATCCAGGTAACTGAATCAGCTGTTTCTCCCAGGGGAACGAGGGAGAGTAAGCCAGCCCACAGCCAGGCCTGCGCGAGGCCTGCCAGGAGTCTAGGAACGGGGAGAGTGCAGCTGGGGCCCCAGCTCCCGGAGCGTGGGTATGCATCGCCTGGGTGTCCTCTTTCTTTGAGGCAAGGCCCATAGTTGGGGTATCTGGGTGCTGAAAGAGCCTGAGGCTGGTGGCACTATACCCCTTCAGGAGAGCCCAGGAATTTAGGGCGTCCTTTAAGAATTCTCTGGACCAGGTACAGAAAGGAATGTCAAGGGGGGAAAGAGGAGAAAGGGGATGGGATATGGTGGCTTCAGGCGTTTTTTAACAAAGGTCATGGAGTGGGGGGTTCTGATGCTCCCTTCCCCTCCCTATCCTAGCATGTGCATCTTAAGCTCATGTGAAGACCCAAAAGAGACTTGAAGGGACTGAGATGATGGGGAGGCCCTAGGCAGGGAGTCAGGGATGCTCTAAAACCCTTCTGAAACTGAATGGCTCTTGCTCCTCCTCCTTATCCTCTTTGCAGAGAGGGGGTCTCAGGACAGATAAGCTTGTAGGCTCTAAAGTTCAGGATTCAGAACCTCCCCTTCCAGATCTTCCCTACATTCTGTCTTAGGAATCCTAGTGCAGGAGCCATGCCCTGGCTCAGGAAGGATTTTGGCAAGGAGCAGAGGAAAGAGGAGACAGGTTCTGGGCCACATTACCTGAAGGCATTGCGAAGTTTCTCTCCCACTGGGTACGGCCGGTCCTTCTTCTCAAACTCATCATCGAAGAGGGTGAGAGAATATGCGGTTCTGTCTACCACGTAGCGGGGCCTGGGCTGACTCATGTCTGGGGCATTTACAAGCTTTGGGAGAAGCAAGGAGAGGAGAGTGAGGGGGCATCCCTCCCCAGCGCCAGCCAGGGCCCTCTCTCTGTCTGTTCTTGCTGCAGGGGCGTTTTATTCTGGTCCTCCCCGCCCCCATCCAGCAAGGTGCCTCCCTTCCCACTGTCGCCTTCCCGCCAGACTCCCTCCTTTTGGTGGCCTTCCTTCTCAGGCACTGATGATACACACACTTGCCCTGGCTGTTTTGCTTGGCGCCCAGCACGTGGCTGGCACTCCACACCTGTGACATCACCGTCACCCCCGCCGAGCACCAGGCACAGGGGAGGTGGGAGTACAGAGGTAGAAGTCACAGCTGGATTCAGTGGATTGATCCTCTGGCCCCTCTTGGAGCCCCTACAAACTACCACTCTGTCCCCAGGTCTCAGTTTCCCTGGCAGAAGGGTCATGCCACTCAATCAGTCCACTTGGGACAAGTAGAGAGAACAGCCTTCCCGGAAGCAGAGGAATGGCTGGGGTGACTTCAGGAGGACCTTTCTCAAATGAGACATCCAGGACTTCACCAACAGGTTTCCCCAGAGGGAAAATGGTGTGTCTGGGGAAATCAGGATGGTCCCGCTGCCGGTAGCCTCTCCCACAACTTCCTGGGCCCAGCCTCTCCCCCCACCCTCGTGGACTGGTGTCCCTCCTCCTCTGCTTTGCGCAACCTCACTGTTGATCCAGGAGCCGAGTTGGGCAGAGCCTGGTGCTAGGGCCCTTAAGGCCCAGAGTGGTTCCCTGTGGGAACCTTCCCCCGCCCACCACTGTCTTCCAACCCCTGGTCCCTTCTCCTGTGCCCTGACCCCCTAAACTGGGAAGACCTACTTGGAGGAAGGAGAGGGGGCAGTTTACCTCCACCTTTAGATGGAGGGTTTATATTTGGCAAGTGGGGAGGGTGGGGTGGCTGTGTCCAGTTTGGCTAAAAATCTGAGATGTGTAACCTCACGACAGGAGGGAGATGGCTCTGGACTTCTTAGAGGAGGACCTGGGGGGAGGGGGGAGGTTATCAGAGGGGAGCAGTCTGGTGGGTAATTTTTGTGGAAGGGGACACTGGGAGAGAGAGAGAGAGAGAGAGAGAGAGAGAGAGAGAGAGAGAGAGAGAGAGAGAGAGAGAATGAATGAGTGTATTTACTAAGGGTCTGGAGACCTGTTTGTACTCAGAAGGGTAACATTGCCTCTCTGAATCTCAGGCTCCTCATTAGCAAAATGGGGAGCAGCCCCCCTACTTCACAGCATTGTTGTGAAGATCCAATGATGTAATGGCTAAGATTTTACCTACATAAAATGTAGAGAATGATACAAATGTTGAGTTTCTGTCCTTAATGAGGTTGTACTTGAATTAATGAGGGCTGGGCTGGTGCATCCCATTCATTTGGTCTTGGCACCAAGGTCCAGGGGGAACTACAGGTAAGGGATGGATTCCTGGAAAAAAAAATCCCATGGATGATACCCCACAGAAGGCAAGATGGGGGCACGAGCCTCCCCACGTCCCCTGCCCAGCCCCTTGCCTGGCACTTAGTCGGTACACAACAGATGCTTGTTGAGTGAATCAATAAATGGTGTTTTGGAAGAGACATGGGCAGAAATGAGTAAGGATAATGGCACGTGAGACATTTCAGTGGGAGAAGTGCAGGGTGGCATCGGAAAAGCAGCACAGCCTTTACCGCCAGAATGACCTGGGTTCAAAGATTCAGTTTCTTCATCCCTAAGTGGGGATAATAGCAGCCCCAGACAGTTGCTATGAGGATTTGACAAGATCTAGAGTGTGAAGTGCTTGGCTTTTCATAGGCATCCAGTAAATGGTAACGGCGATGATTATAATTATTAAGATGGGAGGATGCTCCCTTCTGTACAGGAGAGACTATTACCCGGCCTCCAGCCCTTCACCTTCATGACGCAGGTTGGCCTCACTCTTCCTCCATGCCTTCTATGGGATCTGCAAGGGTCTGGCTTTCCAAGTGATGTTCTTGGTGGACTCTTTGGAGGCCATGAGTGGGGAGCAGGATTTTCCAAGGAATCTGAGCTACAGACCTGGTTTCAGAGAGACTTATGTTTTGGGGAGTGAGTTCCAGGCCATCAAATAGACCACTTGCAAAGACACAGCCCAGCTGGGCACAGTGGGGCGTGGCTGTCATCCCAGCAGCTCGGGAGACTGAGGCAGGAGGATTGAAAGTTTGAGGCCAGCCTCAGCAACTTAGTGAAACCTTTAGCAACTTTGTGAGACCCTGTCTCTAGATTTAAAAATAAATAAATTAAAAAAAAGGACTGGGGATGTGGCTCAGGGATAAAATCCCCAGTTAAAAACAAACAAACAAAAAAAAACCCACCCCAAATTTTGGAAGAGGTGATGGGAAATTTTGCTTCCATACCCACCAACAGGAAGTGACCTCAGAAGCGCCTTCCGAGGCCACTCCCAAAGGCCAGAAGTTCTGGCAGTGCATTGGGAGTGGGGGGCTGCGGTGGGTGCTACTAATACCCAGTCTTACTAAGGCCTACTTTCCCAGCTCCTCACACTGATTTCCCCATTTCTGCAGTGGTACCTTTCTCCCTGTGTCTCAGTCCCTCCCCTGCCACTCCACCTTGTCCTTTTCCTACCCCTCAGCCTCCACGTTCATTGCTAATCAGCCTACTGTGGTGGTTTTGTCCCTTCTGCTATTTCCTCCCTTCCTCTTCCTCTCTTGTCCATCGCCTCTGCACCTTTACTCTGTCCTTCCACCTCCAAGTCTGGCCTCGCACCTGGACTGTTGCAATCGCCCTCTAACTGATTTCCTGGCCTCCAGCGCTGCCTCCTCCACTCCAGCCTACACCCCCTGCTCAGAAATCTCTATCTTCCTTATTTCCAGAAGAGTGAAGCCAAACCCCTAGTTTTGACAATTTTTGATGTTTCACCCTCTGGTCTTGTGTGGGTGGGTGGGTGGACTTGTTGGCTAAGTCCCTCTGGACCATCCAGGTGGGTCTGTCCAGCACCCTCTGCCAAACCAATTTGGGTCTCTGTTCACACTTTGCTCTTAACGCCAGTTGAACTGACTGACTCACTTCTGCTTTCCCAGACCTGCCCATCCTTGAGATGGCTTCCGTCCCTCCTCCTCCCCACTCCTCCTTTTGTCTACGAAACCTTTCCAGACCACCCCAGCCTGGAGCCCTCTCTCTCCTCTGGGATCCCCTTCCCGGGCCCCTCTCCAGCCTGTATACCGCTGTTGGCTTTGGTAATTCCCGGCTGTCCTTCCAGAGAAGGGAGGGAGGAAGGGGGCGGGGTGGTGGAAATCCTTCAGAGAGCATCAGGTAGGTGACTCAGGACTGCCTCTACCCCTGCGGGCAGGCCTCCAGAGGCTGAGAACCGGAGGCCAGGGAATCCCCTCCGACACAGGCTGACAGGGAAGAGCCCCCTGCTTCCTGCAACCCTGCATCCGTCCCTTCCCCATGCTCTCTGCCCCATTCTTTTCCAGAAACAGGGTGTTGCAGGGGAAAGACTTAGGGAGCTTGTTTTCATGTCTCAGTAAGCAGAACCCAGGGGCCAGTCAGAGTTGGGAAGTTATTGCTCGGAGGGAATTGAGGGCTCCCTGGGCCCAAGCCTCTCATTTTTTGGATGAAGAAACTGAGTCTTGGAGGGAGGCGGGGCGAGGCAGCTCTGAACCAGGCCTTGACTCCCACTCAAGAGCCCCTGCTGGAAGGGGCTCTAGACTCCCCTAGAGACAACACTGACCCCTGCTTTCTGGAGGTTGCCCCCCCACCCCACCCCAGTGGCATCCAGAGTGCTCCTGTTGGACCACTCTGGTGACCTTGCTCCCTAGCTGAGGAGACGGGACTGCTGGGTTCCATTTCTTCCATAGAGGGCTCTGCCACCCTGGCCTTAGCTGCCCTGGACAAGGACAAGCAGAATCTCAAATCTGCAGGCTCAGGAGCTGCGCCGGGTCCTGGTGAGGAGGCGACCTCATCATACTTTCTAATCTCAAGAAGAGGGGTGTGGGGGTGTCACTTCATCTCCAGCCAGTCCTCAGCACTGGAGGAAGGGGGTTAGGAGGGGTGGGTAAGTGTGGCCAGCACAATGGGGAGGGCCTTGCCTCCTGGGGTTCTCCAGGCCATAGGGTCCCAGAGTCCCCCAGTGAGGGGACCTCACTGTGCTGGCCTAGGGGTGGGAAGGTGAGAGGGGGAGAAGGGAGAGAGGTATAGGGAACATGGCAATCTGATCCCTAGTTAAATACACAGCTCTGCCCAGTGATGTCAGCGTCCTAAAAAAAAGAGCCCAGTGCTCTGTCGCCATAGGTGCCCTGCCTCCATCAAACAGTGACAGCCCCTCCCCTGCTCCTGCCAGATCAGGGATAAATAGCAGGTGCCATGTGACAATATTGAGGAACAAAAAGGTGACCCTGGCCCTCCCACTCTGCAGAGGAAAGCAGCGCCCGTCCAAAGAGCTGGAGAGACTTGGGGTGGGGGGGAGCAGGCAGGGCTTAAGGCAGGTAGGGGGGAAAAAGAAAAGCAGATGGGAGGAAATAGGGGTGCAAGGACGATTTCTAAGCCCAGGGAGGGGAGTGGGGACAGAGGTTCAGGGGACTTGCACAGTGGCATGGCTGGGGGATGGGGAGCCAAGGGCAAATGGAGTCTGTGGGGAGCCCCTATAATGAGTTCATGCCAAAGAAAGTGCATTGGGACCTCCTCCCAATCATTTTTGTGACTAGATCTGTCCATGTCCCTAGAGTACTGTGGGCAGAGATGGGCGCTGGCACAGTGCCCAAGTTAACACATGGGAAGCCTTGGAAGGGTGCCCCGTGGTGAGCCTGCGGTACCTCCTGACCATTATTGTTGCTACTGTCCCCTGCAGGATTCACCTTCTTGCTCGGCCACCTCAGGCAGGTCACTGTGCTTCCTTGCCTTTCTTTTCCCCTCTGCCCTGCCCCACAGCCCCAGGTCCTTACTCTCCATAGGTCCCCAGGACGGGCTAGAGGAAGAGCAGAGAGGCTTTTCAGAAGCCAGGACACCTGGGGAGCAGGAAGGCGGGAGCCTGTCTGTGGGTTTTGGTGAGGTCTGGAGGTGACTGAAGACGGTCATTGTGGCAGAGATTAACTTCCTCCTCAGCCCTGCCTGGCTGTGCGTGTGTGTGCGCGTGTGTGTGTGCGTGTGCCTGTGTATGTGTGTGTGGTGTGTTGGGGGGTGTTCCTTGACGCACCTGTGCCAGGCACGGGAGCAGCCCCGGCTTGGCCAACCTACCCTGGCGTCCTTATCACTGGTTCCTACCTGGCCAGTCGCTGTGTCTGGGAAGAGGAAAGGTCACTTTGAGGCTTCCCCTTTGCTCTGAGTGCCTCATCCAGGGTGGGAGTTCCAGGGAAAGAGTAGCCTCTGTCTGACCAGGGTGGGGATGGGAGCTGGGACAAGTAAGTGTGCTCCTGGGGCCTAGTTGGAGACTGTGTCCCTGGCAGGTGGAGGGAGTCTGTAGAGGCCTATGTACCCTTAAGGCATTTTTTAATACTTTTCTTTCTGAAATTCTCATATTTCCTGAACAAATCTCCTGTCCCCTCCTCACCCCAACCTACTCTCCTCCTCAGAGATGTGAGGGGAGGACAAATGTCCCTGAAGTGTGTGCCCTCTCTCTGGCTGCTCCAGGACTGTATCGCATGCAGGAGAGAGACTCACTGCTGGGATCCCCAAATCCCCTCTCCTTATCTCCAAGCGAACTTTCCTTCCCACTCTGGCCTCCCTGCTGGGGACAGGCGGACAGATGCTGGCTGGAGGAAATGAATTCCTGCAAGAGGAATGGAGGGTAGATGTTGTGAAGTACTTCACAATAGTGAAACCTGAACAAGGTCATGGGAACAGGCACTTGGGGTTAGACTCCTAGAGGTCTCCGAGGATTTCAGGGCTAGTCTCTCTTGGAATCAGGGTCCTGGACAAGGAGAACAGTAAAGGTCCAAGAATCCAGCTCAGAGCCAAGAGTGGCCGAGTGAAGGGCCATCTCCCTTTGAGGAGGTGTCAGCTCTGTCTTCCAAGTAGTGACCTCCTCACCCTTCAGAGCTCGGTCAGTGTGGAGCTGGTCCCCCAGTCCCTCAGTGAGCTAACTCTGATTATTTAGTACAGTTTAATACACACAAAATACCAATCATGTGCAAATCTCCTGGAGGTCTGGTCACTGAGAGAGCAAAGAAAGTCCATCTCTGCCCCCAGGATTTCATACAAATGAGCCCCAGAGCTGACTGGACCCGGAAGGTGTCTGGGAGGGCCATTCTGGAGATGGAGGTGGCACTAGAGTATGTGGTCTCTGTGCTGCCCAGGCAGGCCCTTGTCAGGTTCTGAATGCCAGGGCCGAGATGAGAGAGTCGGGGTCGGTCAGGGCCTCTGGAGAAGGTTGTCCATGTGAGTGAAGACAGCTATCGGGGGAGGCCTTCTCTCTCCGCCCCTACTTGGTGGCCTGTGTCACTCCAGGGGGCACTGCCTTAATGCTGGTCTTCCTCCTGGCACTCAGACCCAAAGGGGCCAAGTCCCGGGAAGTTGGTACTAGAAAGACTTACTTGGCCTAGGCTGGTGGCCCTCTGAGCTGATTTTCAGGAACAGAGGCACTGTCTGAGGTGGCTGGGACCCCTCTAAGCTGCAGGGTGAGCTCAGATGCTGGGAGCCAGCTGGCTCTTCATCCACTGACCTGACCCAAACCCTTCCATGCAGAAAAATTCATCATGGAGTCAGGTCCCCTGGGCCCTGCTTCCCGCTGCCCACCCGCCTGCCTGATGGAGCTGGTCCCTCCCCATCCTCTCCCACTCCCGGTTTCCTCTCCTTCCACTTCTTCCAATTTCTCAAGATTAATGGGGACAAACGAGGTTCCACGCAGTTCACACCAAGTGCCCAGAGCTGGTGGAGAAGTGGAAGAGGACCTCTGCAGAGGGAGGGGACCCAGCCACACAGAGCAGGCTGGCAAACAGGCACTCAGAGCTCTTTGCTTCAAGGCTTGAGAAGAAAGGGGAGGCACCCGAGGAAGGCCACCGTCCCCCTTTCCCTGGAAGGCCTGTGAAGGAGGTTTTGTCTCTCTGTTTGGGGGTCTTCTACCACTGCCTCTGTCCCACACACTCCTTCAACCCAGCTTGGCCTTGGCAGCCAAGGTCCTTCCATGGAAGTGGGGACCCCCTGGGCTCCTCGGAGGGCTGCTCTCAGACTCAGGGGCCAGAGTGTCCTTCCCACTGGTGCCCAGGTGGACCAGCAGCTCACCCCGTGACCTGTTGGTTCCTGTCATCCTCCTCTCCGTACCCCTGGCGCCCGCCCTCTTCCAGGGATGACCCCGGCCTTGTGGGCTGGGCTGGGCTGGATGGGCCTTACCGGTGGGTGAGTGGAGCCGGCTGGGCAGGGCTGCAGGTGTGTCTGGGCAGCGGGCAGCAGAAAGGTGTTCGTGAGGTGTGTGAAAGGGCTCTGCTCAAATAATCCAGGGAGGCGTTTATAAATAACTTCACCTCAGGGCCACGGGGTGAGCCCCGGCTTCTGATTGGCTCCGAGGGGAAGTGGTTTTGAACACTACACCATAGCTAAGCCTGAGGAGATAGGAAAAGGAGATAAGGGGGAAAAGGTCCCAAATGAACAGCCCTTTTTTTGTTTTACTGGGGGAGCAGGGCTGTTTGATGGGAGCTTGGCACTTCCTAAATCCACCCCGAAGACAATAGGTCACATTCAGCGGGGCCCCTGCCCCACAGGCTCCCCCAAGGCGGCCAGCCGAGGAGGGACACAAGGCAGATTCCTCTCTGAGCTTGCTGTCCTGATGCTTATGGGCTGGGGGTCAAGCCAAATAGCCTCTTGGACAATGGGAACCTTTGAGGCCACCTGAGGGTGGGACTCTGGAGCTGCTTTGAAGGTTGTAGATCTGGGGGTGGGGGACAGCAGACCTCTGAACATCCCTGTGGAAGGGCATGAGCCATGTGTGGGAGACCCTGAGAGCCCCTGAAGGTTTGGGGGGCTGTAGCAGAGACCTGGTTCCCAGTTCTGTCCCTGATCTTAAGTCACTAGCGAGTTCTGTGCCTTGGTCTATCCATCAGTGCAATGGGGAAAGCATCTCTGGTCCTCTGACTGCTCAAGTATCAAGTGGAGAGAAGTGGAGGTGTGGGACCTGGTAAGGAGCTCAAGAAACTAGACCTACCACAATTACATACAAGGTGCTTTGAAGGCTAGTGAACCTCCAATCCACAGGCCACTTCCAGGAGTGACTGCCTGCCTGAGCCACGGTTTTTCCAGGCTCAGCCTGCCTTTGGGGATCATAGATACCCACCCTAAGCCCATTGAGAGCCACTGAAGGACCTCAGAAAGTAGTTCTGCATTGCAGGGTGGGAGGGGGGTCGGGGGAGTTTCTTGACATCTCCTGGGAAGGAGACTCCCCACCTGATGCCAGGTGTCCTTTCTTCAATACATGTGGGGCAGGCTGTCCTAGTCCTAAATTGTCTTTCAGGGGCTCTGGAGTGTTAGAGAATTAGTACAGGGGTGCTTCCGTGAGACACCACTGGAAATTGGGGTGAAATAAAAGACGAAATGGGTTAGCTTCAGAACATAATAGGAACTCAACAAATATTTGTTGAATGAATGAGAGAATGGATTGTCTGCAAGCCCAACCCCAGGGGTAGTTTGTCTATGCATTGCTTGTGTGGACCAGGGGAGCACCCAAGGTCACCAGACAACTGCCTGAAGAAAACCAGAATATAAGCAACCTAAGCATGCCCTGCCACCCAGCTGAGAAAAGGATGTGTGCGTGGACACTGCCTCCAGGAGCCCTTTCTGGCCATTGCAAGGACTTAGCTGGTTCATTCCTGTGGATTTTTCTGCACCAGCAGCATATCACTCAATGCAACCAGTGGCAATTATTTGCTCCATTGTCAGTCTTTCCAAAGATGCCTAGGGAGGATGGGCAGGTGGTGCCTGGCTTGTTCCCTTTGGTATCCCTACCACCTAGGCCATTGCCTGGTACTTATTAGGAACACAACATAGGTTTGTGAGATGGGAGAAGAACTGTGTGATGGAGAATGGGGAAGGGCAGGAATTTGTCCATGGATCATCAAGCATTGTCCAGAGTTGTGGGGAGCCTGACTTCCTCTAAACTTTGGCCAGGAAATTCCTAGAAAGCAGATGAGTCATCCGGCTCCTACTTTACTCCGGGGACAATGGCCATCCAGATCAAATGACTAAGTCCCTTTGCTGAGATGATACCATGCCCACCAGGGAATCATCTGGCTGTACATCCTTCTGGGCAGAGAAGGCACAGCCTCGCTAACTGAAGCACCCAGGGCTATCTGAAGACGCTCTTCTTCTCTTTTAAATGACCCATGGATATTTGGGGCTACCAATTGGTCTAGTGTAAAATTTGTTCATGTGAGAATCTCCCCTCATTTTGACCTGCTTTATGGAATGCTTGGCTTTCTTGCAGGTTGTTTAGTTTAATTCCCATACCAACCATGTGAGATAGGCATGTTACTCTATTTTTTTTCGGGGGGGGGTGAGTAAACTGAATTTGACAAAAATGAAATAACTTGCTCAAGGTCACAAAGATCTGGATGGAAGAGAGAGAAGTCGAACTCAAATATTATGGCTTCCAATCCTCTGCTTTTTCCACTATATCACTTTAATCTTTGAACCCACAAAGCTAAGGATGGGGCCCTACTCTATACCGTACCTTTTGGACACTTTCAGCTTCCCTTTCAAATAACTCCCAAGGTCACCTGGATGCAGATGGCTGGGACTTCCAGAACATGTGCTAGAGTTGGGGACTAGTTAACTTTTTCCCCACCTGTTCTATTGTCTCAGCAAAATCCTGGACAGGCAGGCCTAAGTAATATGGGCAGGAGGGATGGTCCCAGAGGTTCCTTCAAAGTCACCAAGGGGATGAACAGGGACCTCAGGATATGGGCAAGAGTCACAGGTGGGTGGTTCAGAAAGAAGGAACCAGTCCGGAGGCTGGGGGAAACAGGAGAGGAGGTAGAGCAACCCTGGGGGCTGACAAGGGGTATCTTGGATGGGATTAAACTGAGGTACAGAATTCGGGCTGGTGTGGGGAACACAAGGATATGGAGAGACAGACATAAATGGTAGAGAAAAAGGGCAATAAGGACTCATAAACAATGAGAAAAGAGCAAAGAAGACATTTAACATTCAAAGCAGCTCAGTCTTAGGTTTTATTAAAGTATATGTTTTTTTATGATGAAAGCAGGTGAACATTAGCTGTATCCTCTCTTTGGACCAGTGTCCATTCTCCTTTAGAGACAGCCGACTTTACATCCTAGGGTTGAAAGTTATATTGGTTTGCCCATTCATTCGTTCATTCATTCATTCAAAACCCCTCCTCAAGTGCCGGGATCCCATCGTGGAGAGAATGAGATAAATAAAACAAAATTCCCATCCTGAAAAGATCTCATGCTGGTGGGAAAGACCATTGTCATATGGAAACATTGGATGCCACAAGAGACAGGAGAGGCCCTAGCTTAGCTCCTGAGCAGAGGGGACAGAGGTCAGGGAAGACTTCTGTGGAAGGGGACATATAGGCTCTGCTACAAGTGAAGCCCGGACACCTGAGTTATAAGCCATACAGGGCCACTCCCTGGAGTAAGTAAGATGGGGACTGCCCCTGGAAGCACTATTTCTAGAAGGATTTTTCAGCTTGTCTCCAGCCCTCTCTGACTTCTAAATCTCGTGTTTGCGTGTATCTGCTGTACTTTTGAGTTGGCACAGCGGTTATTTTTCAAGTGAGCAAATTGAATCTAGACCTGCAAGAAGGACACTAATTTTGCTACTGCAGTCCATTCTTGGGCCTCTGGCCTTATCTGCACCTGTTGGCTTCTTGCACGAGTGCCCCGTGTAGGGCCTGTGCCAAGGGTGTGGGCAGGATCATGTTTGGAACAGAGTGGCCCAGTGACTTATGCAAACAGCTCAAGGCCAAAGACAGAAAACTCTTCACCTCCTGCCCTGCGGTGGCAGGATCTGACCTGGCCCTCAGGCTACCAGCCAGCTATAGGAGTGTATGTGACTCGAGGACTGCAGAGCTCCCTGGGAATCTCAGGGAGTCAGCACCCTAGCTGTGGGCTGCTCAGGCTGGTCAGGAGATGGTGGGGGGCAAGGTGAGTGGGGTGATGAGAACTAGGATTCACTGTTTCCATATAGTAAGCCTGAGCTCCTACTGAATGCCTGACCCATATTAGGCATCAGGGAGACATGACCCAGTAAAAACCAGTCCCGGGAGGTCAAGACCTTGACAAGAACCGGCAGAGAGAGGCTTTCAAAAATGAACATAGCAGAGGTGGGGACAGTAGTCTGAATGGAATCTTAGCATGGCCTCTGAGGCATGGAGGGTCTGGCTAGAACCTTTCTGGAGAGTCAAGTCAAGGTTGTCCATGGTCCTTATACATCTGTGGCCAGAGGAAAGCAAGTGTCACAGAGCCATGGAACAGGGAGATGCACGACACTAAGCCCATTTGGTCCTCCTCCCTCATTTTATGGATTAGATTCCAAAATCCCCGACAGGACCAGGGATCTGCCCAAGGTCATCGAGAGAGGCGAGGGCAGAGCTGTGAAGACAACTCAGGTTAGTGTCCCTCATCCCCAATCCCAGCCTCCACAAGAGATAAGAGGTCTTGATGCTCTCCCCTGAGCTGGGCCTGTGTGGCTGTGGCTGCAAAGAGACTGCTGGGCTCCATCTGGCTTTGTTGGAGGAAGGTGGGGGAAGGGTAGCCGGACCGTAGCATTGGCCTGGGAGCCCAGGGTGATGCGGCTCCTAGGTGGGTAGTCCTGCACCTTCTAGAAAGAAGAGTTAGATTCTGCTCAGAACCAGAAACTGGTGGCCTGGGTGAGGGTGTTCAAGGCAGTTTGCACAGGGCTGGGAATGCTATGAGCAGGCCTGAGATTAAGTGGGGAGGGGGCGTTCCAGGCTGCTGATGTTAACTGACAGGCCTCCTGGCTGCGATTCTGACTTTGGGCCCCTAAGCCAAGCACACCTTAACTGTGTACACAGGTTGAAACCCAGGGAGGGCTGAAATAGCTTGATGCTCGAGAAGCATGAGATCAGTACTCCTGGGTTCCAAGGCCTTGTGCTTTCTCCAGGGTCTGGCTTGTGCAGCAAGAGCGTTAAGTCAGAAGGTGTGTTTTGTGATTTTGGGACAGTCACAGGAAAATGATGCATGTTTGTCTTTCCCTTTGTAGTCTGTGTTCTCTAGGAAGAAATCTAAAACTGGAAGGTACTTTTACCTGTCCCTGGTCTGGTCCACGGAATTGCCCCTCCTCCATGACCCCTGGCCCACACATGTCTGTTCTCTGAGTGGCACTGCTGAACTCACACCAGCCAAAGCTGAGGCCTTCCCCAGGCCTTCCATGTTAGTTTTGTCTCCCCTGCAGCTCCTCAAGGCCTGGGATTGTGTCACAGGCCCTCAAGAGGCCT